CAAGTTAGTCATTGTCTCATGTCAGGCAATGAGATGAAATTTTGTCATAAGTGGAAAAAAATTCATGCCGAATTTATTGAAAGAATTCCAGGGTCGACTCGTACGGAAATGATATTGTCTAGTAGGTGGAAAATTCTCAATAAAGAGTTGGTAAAATGGAGAGATGTCTTGGCAAAAGCGATGGACAACCATAAAAGCGGGGAAAATCTTAGTAATGAGGTAAGTATTTTGTAATTTTCGTTTTATTAAGTTTAATGTCCTAATATATATAATGTTTCTGGCATTTTCAATATTTTGTTAATATTTCTTGCATTTTAAATATTTTGTTAATATGTCTTGTGTAACAACCCGATCCTAAATTATTAGTTAATTATTAATTTATTCTAATAAAGGACTATTATACCCATATAATATTTTAAATGGTTTAAAAGTTACCTTTTTATTCGGGAAGGAATTTGGGGATTTCAATTGTACCGTTACGTAGAGCATGTCGAAACGATTCCGTAGACACGTAGTGGACTCAAATCGGAGTTGTAACAAAGAAACGGTGATCAAAAGAAGTTCAGTGGCATAACCGTAAATATTTCGAAGTTTAGTTAATTTAAAACACAGAATTTCTGCATTTCGGGGGGGCTCGATCAGACAACTTCCGGAGGTGATTTCTCTCAACTCAGACCACCAATTCAAGCAAGACCAGTCCCGTTAGAACCACTACACTTCCCTCTTCCAGCCCCAGTTCTTTGTCTCCCCGATCCACAGCCGTAGTCGCCGGAAACAGCCAAGAAACAGGGGGTGTTGGACAGTTTTTCATAAACTTTCGCCGGCTCGTTCTCCGTCATCCGGCCACCATTTTCGGTGATCCAGGTATGGAAACTCATCTATTTCTCGATCCCTAGCTGCCGGTTGGGTAGGATTTCAGAAATTTCTAGCGTAGTTAACTCGATCTTGGATCCAAAGTTTGGCCGGATTTCGGGTTGAGATTCCGGCCACTTCCGGCCAGTTTTTGGGGTAGGTCCAAGAACAAAAGTGGCTCCAATTAGGGTGTTACACCTAGGGTAGGAGTTTTGAGCCGTGATTTGGAGATTTTTCGGCGAAGCGGTATCGCTTTAGGCACCACGTGCTGTCGGCGTGTGTGGCGGCGTGTGAGCGGCAGGGTGGGCACCACAATCAGTCCTAGAATAATCCCTTAGTCCTCACGAGTGCGTAGGATTTCGCGGACCTTAATTCGGATAACGTTTGAACCCCGAACGGATCTCGCCTAGTGTGTGATTTCCGGGTTCAGCATGTTTGACCCGTTGGATCGTAGTCATGTTCAGGTATGTTGACTCAGGTAATTCCAGCATTGTATAATAGTTGATGGATCGTAAAACGGAGTTCCATATATTTTAGAAATGCCAGCTCTAGAGCTATGTTTACATTAAACAAGTCCAGATCGAAAGGAGTTATCTAAATCCTGTTATGGGATGAGCAGATAGTTAGTTATAGGTTGCGGCCTGGATAGAAGCAGTATCTCCGAGGCTTGCCAGTTTGCAGATCAGGAACAGAGGAAAGAATTACGTATGGCTTGATTCCTTAGTAAGGGTACGTAGGCAGCCTACAGTTATAAGGTGCAGTCACGAGTCAGAGCCTTTGAGTGTGTGTTATTGTTTTTAGGGCATTTTGGTCATTTGTGACCCACACCCACCAGGCGTCAGTTATAAACAGGGTTAGGCCCAGATTCCAAAGTGGAATTTGGGTTAGGTCCTTTCATCTTGTATTTTCAATATTTTGTTATTATTTCTTGCATAAATAATATTTTGTTAATATTTGTTGCATATCTAATATATTTGTAAGGTTGATTGCATTTCTATTATTTTTTTTTTAATGTTACTTGCATATCCAATATATTTTAAATATTTCTTGGATTTTCATTATATATTTTTTATTAATAGATGATTCAAGCACATATGTGGTTTGGTGCAATTGGGTAAGGCAAAAAAGTTTTCAACCATCATGAATGTTGGGAGGCGGTGAAAAATTGCAAACGCTTCAAAATTAATCCCACGGGTCCCGCTGTTATGTTAAACGAGACGCCACTCCATGATTTAACGACATCGGATTCATCTCTCGATTCCCCTATGAGTCAAGACTCACCTATTGAAAAGGAGCCGAGACCTATTGGCCGAAAGGCTGCGAAGGCAAAGAAATTGGGTAATTCGAGCAGTAATACATCAAAATTTTTGGAGGAAATTGCAAAGCAGGGTGCCATAAGAATTGAAATGGAGCAGAAATGCCAAGAGAACGAGATGACAATTTGAGCAGAATATGCACAAGAAAGGAAGTATTTGCGCAAAAAAGAGATGGACAAGCCGGATCGGGAAACCATGGCGATGGATACAAGCGATATGTCTCCCGAAACAAAATAATTTTGAAGCTAGAATGAAGGGATGTTATGAGAAGAAGACTTTTCCAGGATGATGGGCCACAGATTGGTTAAGTGATCAAAACCATTAAATTAGTTGGCAAACCTTTTAGGCCTGGATAGAAGCAGTATCTCCGAGGCTTGCCAGTTTGCAGATCAGGAACAGAGGAAAGAATTACGTATGGCTTGATTCCTTAGTAAGGGTACGTAGGCAGCCTACAGTTATAAGGTGCAGTCACGAGTCAGAGCCTTTGAGTGTGTGTTATTGTTTTTAGGGCATTTTGGTCATTTGTGACCCACACCCACCAGGCGTCAGTTATAAACAGGGTTAGGCCCAGATTCCAAAGTGGAATTTGGGTTAGGTCCTTTCATCTTGTATTTTCAATATTTTGTTATTATTTCTTGCATAAATAATATTTTGTTAATATTTGTTGCATATCTAATATATTTGTAAGGTTGATTGCATTTCTATTATTTTTTTTTTAATGTTACTTGCATATCCAATATATTTTAAATATTTCTTGGATTTTCATTATATATTTTTTATTAATAGATGATTCAAGCACATATGTGGTTTGGTGCAATTGGGTAAGGCAAAAAAGTTTTCAACCATCATGAATGTTGGGAGGCGGTGAAAAATTGCAAACGCTTCAAAATTAATCCCACGGGTCCCGCTGTTATGTTAAACGAGACGCCACTCCATGATTTAACGACATCGGATTCATCTCTCGATTCCCCTATGAGTCAAGACTCACCTATTGAAAAGGAGCCGAGACCTATTGGCCGAAAGGCTGCGAAGGCAAAGAAATTGGGTAATTCGAGCAGTAATACATCAAAATTTTTGGAGGAAATTGCAAAGCAGGGTGCCATAAGAATTGAAATGGAGCAGAAACGCCAAGAGAACGAAATGGCAATTCGAGCAGAATATGCAAAAGAAAGGGAGTATTTGCGCAAAAAAGAGATGGACAAGACGGATCGGGAAACCATGGCGATGGATACAAGCCATATGTCCCCTGAAACAAAACAATTTTGGAAGCTAGAACGAAGGGATGTTATGAGAAGAAGACTTTTCCGTGACGATGGACCTAGCAACACGAATTGGTTAAATGATCAAAACCATTAAATTAGTTGGCATACCTTTTATTTATTTGTATTTTCATGATTTGTATTTTTTTTTTTGGGTCTAATTCATGTATTTTATTTGTTGGCTAGATAGAGATGTTACGTTGCTTGATTTGATTGGATGAACATCTTATTTGAAATTTGAAATTTATCTGAAATTTGAATTTTATAATTCATTCAAAATTTGAACCCAAATTTATCTGAAATTTGAATTTTGAAATTCATCCTAAATTTGAACCCAAATTTATCAGAATTTTGAATTTTGAAATTCATTCGAAATTTGAACTAAAAAATTTATCTAAATTTTGAATTTTGAAATTCATTCGAAATTTGAACCCAAAAATCTTATCCGATTATGAATAGTTTTGACACGTAGGAAATCGAAAATCTTATCCGAAAATATTATCCAAATTAATTATTGAGGTAAAAAAATTTGTGAAAAAAACAAAAAAGTGAATAGTAATTGCCTTTTGCCATGGCAACGGGTGGGAACACACAATACTATTTGCAAGAGCAACCACTATTCACGTGAATAGTGGCTGTCCTAGCCCCCCCTTGCCATGACAAGGGACAAATGGGTGGAGTTGCTCTAAATATGCTAGTGTGGAGACATGTTGACTTCATGATTTGTAGATAATTGCATTTTATCCTCTCAGGTTCGACATCAATTGCAAATTTAGATATCTTGCTTAAAAATTTGCAATGTAACGTTGGTAGTGCAATGTTAGACCCTCATAGTTTCACCGTTAAATAACGGCGCAGTCGATGAATTCCCAATCCTTACACCACGTGACCAAACTTATGACCAAATATCCATAAGGGACCGATTTAGCCACTCTTCATATATAAATTAAAAAATGAAAAAATTACAAGAGTTTATAATTCAAGTGATTAACAACAGTCATCTATGCATGTAATATCATGTGTTTGAATTCCCTTTATTCAAGAGCGAAACTGTGTATAGGCGGCCTGGGCCCAATGCAGCTTTGGGGCTGACTAAATTCTGCCCATATATAGAGCTATGGGCTTTTATCATATTTAGCCCATCAAAACCAGCTGGAAAACATTTTGACCCACAACCCATAACAAAACATTTGATCAATGGCTCCCTCGACAAAATATTTTTGCAATCAAACGTTGTTTGAACCCATAAATCAGCGTTCCTTACTGGTAATCATCTTATTCACGAAGCCAATGCGGAGTATCTCTGAGTCTCAAATCGAACTAGACATGCCATGTGTTTTGCACAACCGAAGAAGTCGACCTCCGTGGCACCAAAAGACTTCGCCACGTGTCCCTGCATGTACGGACAAACCAATGTGCGATAATGCTAATCTAAAACAATTGACGTGTGAGCTCCTGGTCGAACATGATATCTGACTCTTCCCCAGAACCCACCACGTGGCATTGCTCCACCCAACACGTCCTTCTCCATGCATAGACGTCCTTACCACCTCCTCGGGCACCGCCATGGCTTCATGTTTTTAACACCAATCTCGAACCACCCTTTCTCATCAGTTCTCAAACCCAGAAAAAAGCAAAACAAAACAAAACTCAAAACCAAAACCAGCAATATTAAACAGCTTTCAATATTTTCGAGAGAAAAAAAAGAGAGGAAATGGCTTCTGAGCAGCAAATGAGAAGGGAAAATACCACCTCAGAGAGGGAGGTGGAGATTGAGAAAGACAAGGTGCCGAAGATCACGACCCACTTTGAGGCTCTGAGAGGGGCGGAAGGCAAAGACACTTCTCTGGACAGCAGCAAGCAGTCGCAGCAGCAGCATGAGGATAAAGCGCGGAGTGGAAGCACGGCGGGTGATGTGGGCATGGGAAAAGCAAAAGAGGCTCATGAGCTCGAGTCTCTCAAGGATCAAGTAGAGAAGGACAAGGATAAGGAGACAGAAGCGCGGGCTGATCAAGGGAGGACTGCCAACATGGTGGCGGATAAAGAGGCCTTGGCTAAAAGAGAGAGCGAAGGCCGAGCTCAAGGTCAAGGAGGAGGCGAAGGTGGGAAATTTGAAGAGCACCACCAAGGGCAAGGTCAAAGTGAAGGTCAAGGCCAAGGTGGAGCGCGTCCTCAAACTCATACGAAGGTTGAAGAGCACCAACGACAAGCCGGGGCTCAAGGACAAGGAGGTGGTGGTCAATATCATGCGAAGGTTGAAGAGCACCAAGGACAAGGCGGAGGTCGTCAATCTCTTGGGCAAGCTGGAGGTGAAGGAAAAGGCGGAGCTCAATCTGTTGGTAAGTTTGAAGTGAGTGGTGAGGAAGAGAAGGGTTCGGCCAATAAAGGCCGAGAAAGTACTGAAGTTGATAAACAATCTAGATGCACACAGATAGGCCAGGGTATAGAGAAAATGACCCTCGATGAAGAGAAGAGTTCTAAAGGAGGCAGAGAAAGTGAGATGAAAAGCGGGGAAGAAAAGGAAGGAAGAAGCACAAACATGACGGGCAGAGGAGATCAGGGTGGAGAGAAAATGGATGGTGGGGAAGAGAAAGGCTCTAAAGGCAGAGAAGAAAAGGAGGGTCGTCAGAAGCAAAACAAAGAACAGCAACCATCTTTGGAAGAAATCTCAAAGTTTAGAGCAGCAGCACAGCAGAATTCCATGGAGGCAATAAGAGCCGCAGAGGAGCGTTATGCCCAGGCTAAAGAATCGGCGAGGCAAGGGATTGGCAGCGCAACCGAGTTTGTCTCAGAGAAAGGTGAGCAAACCAAGGAGACACTGGTACAAGGAGTACAAACTGCAAAAGAAACTCTTAGCAGCGCAGGCAAGACGGTCGTGGAGAAAACAGCCCCAGTAGCAGAGAACGCGAAAGATGTGGCGGTGTCAGCGGGACAGACCACTCTGCATTACGTGGGAGAAGGGGCGGCGAAGGCCAAGGACGTGACGTTGGAGGGCGGGAAGACTGCGGGGGCATATGCCGGTGACGTGGCGGTGGGTTTGAAGGACAAGGCGACTGTGGCTGGCTGGAGTGCCGCGCATTACACGACAGAGGCGGCAGTGGAGGGGACCAAGTTGGCTGCTAGAACTGTGAAAGGGGCGGCGGAGTATGCGGGTCATACAGCTGTGGATATTGTTTCCAAGCCCTTGATTATGGCTAAAGATGCTGCGGCGGTGGCGGGTGAGAAGGCAGGGGAGTACACTGCTAGGAAGAGAGAGGAGGCACAGAGAGAACTGGAGGCCAGGTCAGCTGAGCAAAATAAGTCACAGGTATGGAACAGTACAAATTACATATTGCTTTTATTTTTTTAAAATTCCATCTCACATCTTATATGTGCATCATTTTAATTGAGCCTTGTGAATTTATACATTAGCTGCACATATGTGTTAGAAACACCTATGTTCTGTAGAAATGTATCAGATGAGTACGTTGTGTTTTAATCAATGTTTGGTTTTACTTAAGGGGGGTCAGACTCAACAAGGAAGAGAAAAAGAGGGATCCAAAGGGGGCCAAGGGGAGACTGGTCAGGAATGGCAGAGTCAAGTTCTGGGCACCATGAGAGGTGAGGACATCGGTCAAAAGGGAACGCAGAGCGAAGGTGGTGATCAGCAAAGAAGAGAGGAGAGGACTTATGAGGAAGGCGGTGACAAAGCCAGTAGTGAGGAATACAGGAGTGGCATGGATACCTCTCAAGTGGCCGGTGGCGGTGCCGGCATGGGGGTGGTGCTGGAAGCAATCGGGGAGACACTGGTTGAGATCGCGCAGACGACGAAAGACATGGTGATCGGGCAAGAGGAGGAGAAGAGTAGTAAGCAAGGGGAGTGGAATTCATCAACTGATCAACAGGGCAAGCAAGGGCTGGGCAAGATGAAGTGAAGCATAAATCAAAGCGTTAATATAGCAGTTTCTCAGTCGTTAGTTTTGACTGAGATTTGTGGTACTTGTAATTTGTGTTTATAATTTTGGTTTGGATGTTAAGTTTGTTTTGTGTTGAATAAATTTGAATATGCATTCTGTATTAAAAACTCGTTGCTGCACTTGCTCTGATGAGAGGTCTAGTTTTTGCGTCTCTGGACCAACTTTCTTAACCTAGACCAACTTTATATAAAATAAAAATAAATATCGGGACGAGATTACCCTTGTGGTAAGTTTGAAAGCAAATGTCTCCCATTGAAGGAAACAACAAAAGGTTCTACATGTTTTATATGCATAACTCGATCATAAATTAATCTTTAATTGTTAAATTTTTCAAGTAAAAAACGATTTTAATCAGAGAATATTTTAATGGATTTAAAATTGATTTTTTGTTTGGAAAAGAATTTGGGAATTTGAGCTGCACTATTCCGTAGAGCTAGATGATATGAGTTCATAAACAGGTGGCATGTTTAAATCAGAGTTTTAACGAAGAAGTTATGATTTACGGATGGGTAGTGGCACAATCGTGATTTTTGCAAAGTCAGATTTTTTTAATAGAAAAACTGGCAGCTCTCTCTCTCCTACTTCACGACACTCTCTCTCCTCTGTTTCTCTCTCCCTGCGACGGCGGAGTTTCTGACAGCGATTCCTTCGCCGTCAAGTCGAATCCGGTGACGCAACCACCACCAAAATATTCGTCTCTCTTCCCTCTTCAAAACCCAGTACATCTTGGAGATCAAAACCATAAATTTAGGGCTCAATTATAGACAAAACCGAAGCCCTGTTTTCCAGCTGCTGTACCGGAAGTTTCAAACCTCATTCCGGCCAACTCCGGCCATTACAAGCCACGATATCAGCATAAAAACACTCCTCTACCTCTCTTCTATGTTTTCCCTCGAAGATTCGACTCTATTCCACGCCGGATGGCTCGATTTAAAGAAAAAAAGTATCTAGGTTTTCCAGCGAAAGAACCAGCTGTTCGAGGGCTTTAGCGGCCAATTCGATCTTCGATGCACGTACATAAATCACTCCTCTTGAAGTGTTGATTATGTTGGTATGCGTGACGGGTGGAAATTTTAAGTTTCGTCGTCGCCAAAACACGAATTGCATCAATTCCAAAGGTCTCTTGAAAAAAAAAAAAAAAAAGAGACATAAATAACTCAAAAGGATTAATGGTTTTGAGTAAAACATGTTGGAATGATCGAACTATGCTTCAATTTAATTTTGAAAATAAATGCATGGATTATGCTTCTATTCATATGATATGTATAGTACAGTTTGTCTTATTTGTAGTAGTAACCATGTTATAATAATTAGAAATTTTTATTAATTTCCTCTTCAGATGATAGCTAATTATATTTAATTGGTGTTTAAACTCTAAATCTTCTTCTTTGGATGTTACAATATTATGGGAAGACATTCACGATGGGGACTACGCCTGCTTACCATCAGGAGCAATAAACAAGGGAAGCAGCTGAAGAAGATGTTTGATCTGCAACAACAACCAAAAACAAGTAATAACCTGTTGAAGACTCGTGCAGTTCTCTTTAGTCTTTGGTGAGAAAAAAAAAAAAGGTGGCAGATTTAAACCAAACCATTACGAAGAAAAAGAAAGATGTACAAGAATCTCATGCAGTTGAAGCGCTCATGTGAAGAGCTACTAAGGATGCATAAGATCCATCCGAGATATTCATCAAAGTATCATGCTTGCCTCTCTCTACGATAACCCCATTTTTTACCACTGCGATCACATCAGCATTCTTGATTGTGGATAGTCTATGGGCAACCACCACTGTGGTCCGGTTTACCATCACTCCGTCTAATGCATCTTGAACCACTCTCTCAGATTCAGCATCGAGTGCACTTGTAGCTTCATCTAACAGTAATATCTTGGGGCTCTTGATTATAGCACGCGCAATGGCTATGCGTTGCTTCTGTCCCCCAGACAATTGCACTCCTCGTTCTCCTACTATGGTGTCAAACCCCTGCATAATGCATTCGGATTAATGTTGCAACAATCTATTACAAGTTATAACTAAGATCAGTTGACTTGTACCCAAAAACATTTATTATAATGCATTAATGTTCTAACCTGTCCTAAGCTACTTATGAACCTGTAGGCATTGGCCAACTCTGATGCAGCTATAATTTCGGCCTCAGTTGCATCTCCTTCTTTTCCATATGCAATGTTGGCGCGGATGGTGTCGTTAAATAAAGCAGGTTCTTGGCTCACAAGCCCCATCTGTTGCCTTAACCATTTCAATTGGAATTTTCCAAGTTCAATTCCATCAAGTGTGATATGACCTGAATCCGGATCATAAAATCTTTGCAACAATGCTACTACTGAGGATTTTCCACTCCCGCTTTCTCCAACCAAGGCAACTGTCTGCAAAAGAGATTCACAAAAGAACCACCTATATGAAGACCTAAACTTCATCATCATGTCATCAAACTAAAATATTATAAGATAATAAATTTATTTAAAAAAGAAAACAGAATTGAAATCTAAATCAATGATGAAATGCTTACATTGCCACAATGAATAGTCAAACTTAGGTCTCGGAAAATCTGTATGTCTGGCCTAGATGGATATTTAAAGATTACACGGTGAAGCTCAATCTCTCCCTTTACGCTGTCCAATTTCACACCAGACTCGTCACTAGAGTCTATCTTTGACTTCCTGTCTATTATTGCAAATATGGAAGCAGCAGCATTCTTGGCTTTACTAAAATCAACAGCAAAGGAGCTGGACTGAGAAATTCCCATAGCTGCCATGGTTAAAGCATAAAAAACCTGCAGGCCAAATGCACATCTTAAAACCATCTACATATGCTTTGGTCTTGTTTTAAAAACTATTCGATGAATGGAGGGAATAATTACTTGGAAAACGTGTGGAAATGTTGTTTTTCCAGCCTCAACAAGTTTAGCTCCCGCATAGAAACAGGTTGCATAGACACAAAACAGAGAGAAGAAAGATATTCCAAATCCTATTCCGCTGATCAAGCCTTGTCTTTTCGCTGCCTCCGTAGGGCCTTCACATTTCCTTCTGTATAGGTCCATTACCTTTTCTTCAGCACAGAAAGAAGCAACTGTTCTTATGCTCCCAACTGCATCATTTGCAACTTGGCTTGCTTCCTCATACATCATCTGCAACCATTTAATTATACATCTTGATCGTTAGAAGAAAGAAGGGATTTGAATTTACAAATTGTGAAATGTTCTAATAATCCAGAATTGCCACTTGAAAATGTAAATGTGGACAAATTATAACCGTATTTAAATGAGAAAGCTTTTACTTTCAGGGAGCGCTAGATCATACCTTTGCATCTGCACTGAATCCTTTCATGAACTTTGCTTGAACATATCCGTTAATTCCGATCAGAGGAATCAATGCGAGTAAAATGAATGCCAGCTGCCAACATGCAGTAAAACCAATGAACAAACCTGCAGCTGCCATGGCAATGCTCTCAACTATCTGAGCTAGTGTGTCTCCTACTAGGGCCCGCACTAGAGCGGCATCTGCTGAGAGCCTGGCACCAATTGCACCACTTGAGTTCTCAGCCTCATCAAACCACCCAACCTCCATGTGAACCACTCTCTCAAAACAAATCAATCTAATACGTTCAATTAACTTACTACCAGCCACAGAAAAGAAGTATTCTCTTGCTGGGATCACCAATAATGATGCCGCACCAAGGGTCATAAACATAATTGCCCAAAACTCTGAATCTTTCTTTTGTTGACGAGGTGGTTCATAGAAAGTCTTTACTACCTTGGACAAAAGCAAACCAAAAATTGGAATCATAACACCACTGATGATTGCAGCTACAGTTCCAATAAGAAGCACTGGAATCTCGGGCTTATTGAGGGCAGCAAGACGGTGCATTGAGATCTTTGGAGGTTTCTCTAATCGCAGGGTAGGGGCTTCTGGATCTGACTGCAATGTGTTGTTCTCACGCTTGCTACCAACAGAGGAATTCCGACTTAAGGATCTTACTGACGCCATCCTTCGACTCAACTGTCTAGAACATTTCGTAGTAATTTCGGATTTGTCTTGAGCTTCTGTTGTTTGTTCTGATTCCTTGTTTACTTCTTGCAAGCGAATAAGTTGAGAGTATGCTCCTTCAGGATCCTTGATTAAGTCTGAGTGCGAGCCTGATCAGTTGACAAAAAGTTACTGTTAATTGATATATACTGAAAGTACTGATCAGAGCTAACAGCCTCTGTGTATATCTTTCCATTGTGAATATATACTGCTGTTTCTCTTCACCCTAGTAGATAAAAATATGCCAGATCCATATAATAATTAACTGCAGCAGCAGTGGACTTCCTGTTGCCTTTCACATTATTTATAAGCCATACGTCTGCGCTCTGAGTGCCAATCCCCAACTAGTCTTAAAAAAAATGACAAAATGATTATCTTTTGCAGTAAATAAATTTTTAGTTGTAGCTTAGTTATTAATCTGTTTGTCTCTATTTACATCATCCTCTAAGGTAATTCTGCAGAAATAATTAATCTGTGTGCATAAAACAGCATAATTTAATTTGCTGCAATCTCCAAACAATGGGTGGGAAAATAAAAAGAATGTGCTATGAATGGCCTTGTTAGATGGAATACCTCTTTCAACCATCTTTCCTTTCTGAATGATAGCAATTGTATCTGCGTTCCTCACTGTGCTCAAACGATGAGCTACAATAACACTAGTTCGGTTTACCATAATCCTATCCAATGCTTCTTGAACTATCCTTTCAGATTCTGCATCAAGTGCACTTGTAGCCTCATCCAGAAGTAAAATTCGTGGATCTTTCAAAACTGCTCTTGCTATAGCAATTCTCTGCTTCTGCCCACCAGACAGCTGAGTTCCGTGCTCACCCACCATGGTGTCAAACCCCTGACCACAAAATATATATGCAATTCCAAAGTGAAGTAAGCCTATATTATGTTCTTATGATGATCATGCGTGTATATATATGTACAGTTCAATCAAAATGAACTAGCTAGAGCAAATAAATTAGAACCTGGGGCAGTTTATCAATAAATTTAGCAGCATTTGCAAGTTGAGCTGCTGCTTCTATCTCTTCAAGAGTAGCACCATCTTTTCCATAGGCAATATTTTCCTTAATGTTGGATGCAAACAGTACAGGTTCCTGGCTGACAAGACCAATTTTACTCCGAATCCATTTGAGCTGAAATTCTTTTAGGTTTATACCATCTATCAAAACTTCACCAGCTCTTGGATCATAAAACCGCTCTATCAGACTGATGACTGTTGACTTCCCACTTCCACTTTCTCCAACCAAAGCTGCAGTGGTTCCACTAGGGATATAAAGTGAGAACCCGTCGAATATTTGTTCATCTGGTCTGGCTGGATAACTGAAAAATACCTCTCTCAACTCTATATCTCCACGAATGTCATTCAATGTCTTTCCTTTTTCGTCATAGGCATCAATCTCTGGCCTCCTACTGATAGTCTCAAACATCTTAAATGCTGCAACTTGACCAGCGGCGAATGCACTTAAGCATGTTGATGCCTGCCCCAGAGACCTAACACATATCCCAAATAGTTCCAAAAGAAAGAAAATTATCAAATTATTAAGAAAAAGAACAAATTAAAAAATAAAGGGAAGAAATTTGAAAGTCAAGAGTGGAGCTTACATGGATGCAGTCAAAACAGCAAGAATCACATTCAGCACATCACCCCCGGAATATCCTTTTTCCCTTATCATTCTTGAACCAAACCATACAGCCAAGGCATAAGAGAAGAACAAAACTAGCATAACGAAACCATGACCTATTCCAGCAGCCGAACCTTCTTGAACACCTGATTTGTAAGCATCCACAAGATTTTTACTGTAACTTGTAATAGCTTTCTTCTCTCCAGTAAAGGATGCAACCTAGATATATGATATAGGAACCAATCAAATGAAAAACATCATCATATATATATTCTTGGTTGGTCACATAAATAAATTAAAAGAAATTAATTATTCCAATAACTAGCTCCAAGGCAAATAAATGTACGTTATGTGACTACATACGGTTCTAATGGAGCCTATCGTCTGATCAAGAACGTTTGCTGCTTTTGCGTAAGCACTTTGTCCATGGGATGCCATCTTGGTTACAATGAAGGATATGGATGCACCAGCTGCCACAAGCAGAGGAACACAGGATAACATGACAAGGGTAAGAGGCCGCACTTTGATGAATGCTATTATAAACCCTGCAATGAAAGTTGAAAATAGCTGGACAAATTTCCCAACCTGCACCAACAAGTTGTTGTTACATTATCATAAGAAGAGTAACACATTTCAAGGTTTCTATTCTTCCATTCCATTTCCAGGTGATTTTTATTTTTATTTCTTGTACTCGTACACGTACCTTCTCACCCATGGCATTTTGTATGAGAACAGTGTCGCCGGACATTCTCCCAACGACCTCTCCACCGTTTGTTTCCATATCAAAGAAAGCAATATCTTGTCTCAATATTGTTTTCAAATACAAAGCTCTTATCCTTGCAGCTTGTCTTTCCCCTGTTACCATCCAGCAACCGACCTCTGTTGAACAAAAAAAAACAGAGGCTTATCAATCCGTTCAAATGCTCAATTAATATATAGAAAAAAGGAATTTCTCCATGCATTGCATTATCAAAAACAAAAGCTTATGATATGTACTTACGAAGAGTTGCAGCGACAGCTGCCCAGATAGCCAAATACACAAATTTTAGAGAGACCTGCAATTTTCCAAGATAAGTGATCATCAAGATGTTCAGCGAATCAATAGAGGAAGAGATCTTGAAACAAAATATATGTATAAAAAACACCTGAGCTCCAGAAGTCATCAAGATTTTCTGGAACTTGAATATTTCACCTCATAAATTAAAACAGAAGTTGATAATGTAAATAAAACTAGATGTTTTTTTTCCAGTGGTGGAGATTAAAACTCAGGTTGTAACTTGTATGTAGACTTGTGAAACATAAGTTTACCTTGGAAACAACACTGAGTCCTATGTGTGTATTGTTTTGATTAGTTCCAAAAGAATCACTCATCTCCCCGACCAGTATCGTCATAATTGACATACATGAACCGTTCCCCACGGCACCAATCGTGCCGATGAGCATCAACGTAATATCAGTCTTATCTGCAAACGAAAATAACTTTATAAATGCAACTTTGTCAGTTTTCTCGTCTCTTCCATAGCTGCTCTTGTTATCATCCCTGTTCATCATGCTAGACCTCCTTTCTTCTTCTTCTTCTTCTTGGTCTTGGTCTTGCTTTTTGATGTTGTATTATTATTTCCCACTTACCACCAGACTTTTGATGTCTCAGTATGTGGGTGTTGACATTTTGTCGTTATCGAGTCAAGGATTTTATTTATTAGCAGATTTTGTATATCTCCATTCACTCAATGACAGCCGTATATACATAGTTATTTATTTATTTATTTAAAATTTTGCGAACATATATATGTATATATAGTTTCCTTACAACATCCACAATCTTACTCTCTATTTTTTAGTTAAATTTTAGCTAAAATTATATAAAAGTTATTTTAAGAGCTCTTTGTAAAATTTAAACTCCGATCATACTCTTTAGTTTAAGGAGTCATAAATGCTATAACTCTTTTTTAATTGGTCAATCTCTATTAAAAAATAGTTAAGATTAATTAAATGTTTGAAATACTCATTAAATAAAGCAGCATTAAATTATAGGGAATCACTAGGAATTCTTTCTTTCTCCTCAGATTTAGGAGCTCCTAGAGATCTCCTTATTTTAGGAGGTGGATAGGGAGCATGGTTGGAGTTGTATTTTTATAATGAATAATGCTACTCTTACCACATTTGTATACTACATTTTTATACCATCTTATGTGGCAGCTGATGTGGACAGTCACATCAATTAAAATTATATAATATTTTCTTTTCTTTTATGATTTATTCCAGTATTTGTTTTTCTAATTGTCTTAATTAAAATACACTTTATTGATTTAATTAATGTGGCATATGATATGGACATGTCACATTATGTGGTATAGAAATGTGGAATAAAAATATGGTAAGTGTAGCATTTCCTCCCTAAAATTTGTCTAAGGATGTGGTTTAAAAAGCTCATTTTGGATGTTCTTTTAAATCTTGTAATATACATCACACTAATTATTGTATATAGTACACTCTAATATTCATACTTCACAAATGGCTTTTATCGCAAATAGTCCATGAGGTTAGCGAAATTATCACTTAATCTTTTTTTTTTTTTTTTTTTTGTTGGTGATATTAATAATCCTTAACGTTACCTATTACACATCAAAATGGTCACAGGCTCCCAGTCGTTAGAAACTCTGTTAAGTTGTTAACTTGGAAGGCAAGTGGGCTCCACATCTCCAATGACGCCGTGCTATGTGGATAAGATAAAAAAATTTATGAAAAACTATTAAAAATTAAAACAATTTATGAAAAATTTGAATTTTTTTTCCAGCCCCCATATACTCTCCCTCTACTCTCTCTCAAGAAGCACAGATACAAAGCTCGACTAGTGTATCTCGTATCTGATACGCTGGGGGATACGATATGCAGTGGATACGCACATCTATGCGCAAGATACGTATCTGAGTCAACGGATATGGTCAATGACTAAAGGATACGCATATTTGACAAAACAGATACGGGTATCCCAATTTTAGGAAAAACTTTTGGGAAAAATTAGAATTCGACACAAATTTGAAGTCTTGAACAACACGGGGTGTTTGCCTTACCTCTTTTGAAACTTTGAAGATATTTTCCTGATCTTCTTCTTGTTTATATAAATAAAGAAGCAAAGCCGACCCCCACCACCCATCAATTCTTCTTCTCCTTCTTCATCAATTCCTCTTCTTCTTCACCCATATAAAAGAAGCTTAGGTTCTTGAATTCATCTGGTGTGGTCGTGGTTGTGGAATTGTTGGTGAATTTTGGTTCTGTCTATTTCTCACGCTTCTCTTTCTAACATGTGTTCTTTGGTCCAACTTTTTTACACTTTTCTCTCTATTTTTGATTCTGCATGTTCACACTTTTTGTCCTTATGCGACCAACACTTTACATATATATTATTATATTACATGTAATGTAATCAACACATATATTATATCATTATTATATTTCATGTCCCTCCCTACCTCCCTCCCTTTCACGTGATGAGCAATTTGATTTTTAAAAACAATTTGTGGTTAGGTAAATTAATAATATTATATTTAATATGTTAAATTTTATTTATATTCAGAAATATGAGTCATTCAGATAATAGTGCAAGTGCTAGTGTTAATCCTACTGAGAATAATGAAATCGACTTCTATTTTTTTTTTCTATAGTTTAAATTTGAATTTGGTTAATGAATTTGAATTTTTATATTAATTAAAATAAGTTTTAAATTATATATATTGTTATTATTATATTTTAATATAAATTTTTAATTGTTGTATCCATAACGTATCGTATTCTAGTTTTTGGAAATTTGCCGTATCTCCATGTCGTATCGTATCGTATTGCCGTATCTGTATCCATGTCCGTGCTTCTTACTCTCCATCTCCCTCTGCTATTTTTCCAGCCCACCACCCCCCATCCCCATTCGCAACCACGCCACAGCTGCATCCCCAACCCCAACCCCTCACCCTCTCCCACTATTTTTTCTCTCCCCTTATACTCTCCCTCTCTCTCCATATGACTGCCCAGTGCCCCCACCCCTCCCCTATGGTGTCGTTTTCTCCCCCACGACCTCCTACCCCAAATGCTATCGATTTATCTAGTTTTGATAGTTTTTTGCAAACCCAAGTGTTTAAGATTGAATTATTTTGATGTTTTGGTTGATGGGTTTTGTGTGAATTTGGAAAAAGGTTGAGATGGGAGGCTGTAAGGCGCCATTTATGAATCATGATCAATAATTTTACCTTTCGATTGTTTCTGAAAGGCTTGGATTGACTGTGAGCTTTTTCGGAATGTGGAGGTATTGAAATTAACAGAGCTGGTGGGGAGGTTGTTGGGAAGAAAACAAAACAGAGGGGAGGAGCGGTGGTGGTGAAGGGCCATTGGAAGTCATATGGAGAGAGGGAGAGGGTAGGGGTTGAGGTTGCTATTGTGGCATGGGTTGTGGGTTGGGATGGGGTGGTGGGCGAGAAAAACAACAGAGGAAGAGGGAGAGTAGAGAGAGGGCAGAGGGGGATGGGGAAAAAAATCAACTTTTTTCTTCAATTTTTAAATTTTTAATGGTTTTAAAAATATATTTTATCTTATTCATGTGTCACGACGTCATTGGAGATGTGGAGCCCATTTACCTTCCACGTCAGCAATTTAATAGAGTTTCTAACGGCAATACTATTTTGATGTATACTAGGCAATAAGTGCATTATTTCTTATATTTTTATACCTATTATATTTGGTTTTTGTAAGGAAAGTTAATTAAAAAGAGCATCATTACCTTACTTTCCTTATTTTCATCTATTCTGCGCTATTGGAAGGATTTTGACTGAAAATCGACTTTTCGAATGAATTTTAGCACAAGGCCAATTGTTAAAGAAAGCTAAGACATTGAAGATCATTGTATCAAAATTTCATAATTTTCTACCAAGCCAAATGCTCCAGACTTACAAATCAAGAGAGCCTAAGTTGAAATCCCGTTAGAACTGTACTGCTGTGGAAGATTGAAGATTTGAAGATCTTTCTGATTTTTTCTAGTGGCGTGTGATATATGCTTGGAAAGATTAGAGATCAAGCTACGTTTCTCACATTTTTCCAGAATTTTATAGGAAGTGGAAAAACCCCCAAAACGTGTGTGCAAGTTGGCTGACGTGTTTCCAAGTCAAAGAAGGATTTTTTCCTAGTTTATTCCCTTAATTTTTTGGGATTTTGTTTTGCTTTAGCAGAGTTTTTCCGAACCTTTTTAGAGTAGAGTTTAGTTGTTTTACACTATATAAGGTCACCCTAAACTCTCTCTAATGAGGAGCCACATACCATTTATCATCTCCCCATATACAACTTTCATACACCCACAAATATATCAGAGAGAGAGCTAAGAATTTGCTGTGACAGTGCTTTTGGAGCTCACAAAGGTGTTGTGGAGAATCCAAAGATAAAACCCATAAGCCAAATCAGTTTTATGACAACAATTCTCTTGTTTATATTTTCTTTTATCATGAACTAATTTTCCTTGTTAGGGCTACGATGTAGCCTAATCGTGAATACTTAATTTTTATAGTTATATTAATTTCTGATTACTATTCCATGTTCAGCATTTGTTACTGTTCTTAATGCTTTGAATATCTGGCCAATATTTAATTGATTTGATTATCCAAATGGAGACCGAGAGGAGATGTTTGGTGTTTGCTTATCGTAACAAATACCATGTCTTGAATAAGTGCCCGAGAGGGACTAACATGACTCATGCAGTTTTCTTGCAGGTTCTCATAGAACTTAATGGGTTTTTGATTTTCTAAATCTGTTGCTTGAGAGAGAATAGGTTGTTAATTATGAATACTTTTGGTTGAGCCCGGAAGGGGATATTGAATGAATTAGGAGAAATCAACTGTCAATATGGGTAGTAATTAGGGTTAATTGGCTATAAGAATTAAGTGGCATTGGTGATGGTGAAATCGGATGCTCTAGTGTCTCATCAACTTGATTTTCCATATCTTTAATTAAATTGCTGTTTTTCAAATGTTTTAGTTTAATTAAATCAATCAATCCTCCTAATTAACTGTTCAAATAAACTTCTGCATTTATCATAATTGGTAATTAAAAGGAAATTACAGTTTTCGTGGGAACGACACTTCACTTATCTCTATATTACTTGTGCGGATTGTGCGCTTGCAATCATTTCACAAAACTAGGTAATGTTAAGGACTATTAATGTCACAAAAACATATTAAGGACGAAATGTGATAATTTTGCTAATCTCTTGCTAACCTAAGCCTTCACAAATATATGAATTCCCTCCTTAAGAACTCAACCTAATTAAGTTAAAAATAGGAATTTAATTTCACATTTCACATACCAACTACATCCATCTATCAATACATAGCATCACATTAATTATAATTCAAAATTCTTCACCAAATGTGGTCATGCTACTCTTACCACATTTGTATACCACATTCTTATACCACCTTATGTGGCAGATGAAGTGAACAACCATATCAATTACAGGTGCATAAATGAGATCTCAGTAGTGTCTCAAGATTATATGATTTTTATATATGCTAGATCCATTTAATTTCTTGTTTCCACATGTATTTTACTCTGCATTAGAG